TCCCCACACAGCTGTGTACTAAGACCCTCTGTATACCCAGCATTGTGTGGGCATAGGGAAGAAGGTGGGAAAGAAAAAGAAAAAGTTCTCTGTCCTGAGGACATTGTACTCTCCAGTGAACAGCTCTGGAATATGTCGAGTGCTGATAAATACTATGAGGGAAAAAAAATAAGGCAAAAAATGGTATCAGTGGTGCTGTGGGGTGCTCCTTGTTTGGGAGATCAGCAGTGGACCATAAGTAAGTGACTTTTAAGCAGAGACCTGAAGGAAGCCAGGGGAGATGTGGCTATCTGGGGGAAGATTGTCAACAGCAGAGAAGCTGCCCAGTACAGAGGCCCCAGGGCAGGACTATGCCCAGTGTCTTTAGGGAATAGGAAGCAAGAAGGCCCGGGTGATAGAAGAGACCTGAGCAGCAGGGAGTGAGGGTAAGAATCATAGTAAATGCAGAGAAATGACAGGTCAGGTGGGGGCTGTGAGTCACAGTGAAACGGTGTATGTCAGAGATCCTGGTACTCTCTGGAGAGCAGACAAGAGCAAGGGGGCAGTGACCCAGGCCAAGCAAACAAGGAGGTTGCAGGAAGAGGCCAGGTACTGGAACTGTGTCCAAGGACCCAATGCCTAGAATACAGTGGCAAGAGGGTGAGGCAAACAGGCCGGAATTCATGCTTTCACCTGAGTATTGGGGACATGGAGTGACCATTTGTCAGATGCCAGAGATGGGAGGAGCATCCAAGGGAGCTGTGGGTCTGTGTGTTCTACATGCCAGCTCCTCTTTCTGGAGCATGGCTTTCGTGCGACCTCTGTGCTGCCTCCCCCTCCCCCCCATGCCACCCCTTGTGCCATGGCTGCTGAGAGTTTCTCCTTTCCAGCGCCACAGCCTTGCCTGGCACTGGAGACCAAGAATCTTCCTGTGCCCTCCCTTCCCCTGCCTCACTGGAGTGTCTTCCTTGTCAGTTTTCCTCTTTTGTTATTTTTACCTGTTTCGCACTCCATATAGCAAGGGCACTCTACTAACAATGCAAAGTAGAAGACATCGTTCTGGGCCCTCACCCAGCTCTCCATTACTCCTTCCTTGGTGGAACGTCAACTGCCCTGGCCACAGCCAGCCCTGCCATCCTTCAGCCTATAGTAGGCCTCAGCATCCTCAGTGCATTCCTGAGTCCTTGTGCACGGCTCCTCCTCTGCCTGGCCTGGGCTCCGACCTACCTCCTCAAGGAGGCCCTCCTTGGCTACCCAGGATGAATTAGGTCCCCCAGTTGTTTGCTGTCATAGCTCCTATGTTTTTTTTCTCAGAGTATCTCCCTTGGCTCTGAAATTCTGCATTTATTAGTTGATGGTTCCTTTAGCACCAGTCATCTCCACCTGGCAATACATTCAGGAGACCATGCTGCTTTGCTGTACCTGTGTCACAGCCCAGCCTGATGTATAGAGGACTTAATAAGTGTGTTGATTAGGCACATATCCTCTGTCTCAGCCTTTCCATGTGGCAGTAGAGGACCTGATGAGTGAGTCATTAAATTGACAGAGGCTCTCAAAGTTCGCCAAAAAAACAAAACTAAACCTGAAAAGTCTGTTTTTTCCACTCTCAGGTTGGTAAACCATTCACTTTCCTCATTAGTAAATGCCGTAATCCAATCTTTGAGTCTCTGAGTGTCTCTCTGTCTTGGAGGGTAGCTGCTGAGGACACTGGCAATGCTGTCTGCACTCACCCTGCAAGAGCCCACAGGAGTGCCCCACCGCCCTCTCCCCAGCTCTATCTGCTTCACAATTTCCTGTCTAGGCCCTTAAAATCTTGATCTACACAGTTATTTGTCTGCTCCTCACAATACCCTCACATGGCTTCTTTATTATTCCAGTCTTAAGCACACAAGACCTGTTGACAGGAGAGAACATGCTTGGAATAAAGCTGACCAGTGGGGCCTATTGGGTGGACCTGCCTTGAAGGTACAGAGCACGCTCTACTCTGCAGGGGTGGGGTCCCATTTGGACCAGGCCAGATGTCTTGAGGGGTCTTTGCCTTTATGGAACAGTGGAATAGCTTCTTTGCAAAGGCCTGTCACAGGAGGGCTTTTCCTGGTAAGCCCTGGTATGGATACTAAGGATACAACAGGAGGTTGAACCTTGGCCCCATCTCCAGGTTAGGAACACAAATTTTATAGGCAGACATGTCAGTCTCGTGTTCAAGATGTGTGCCCAGTTGGCAGAAGCTCATTATCCTCCCGTGTCCCCCAGAGCTCTACTCCAGGCCAGCCCCAGGTCAGATTCTAAGAGCTTGAATTCATCCAAGGGTACCCAGAGCAGACCTGGGAATGCCCCCTGATAAACAGAGATGGAGCCTGGATTGTGCAAACATCATCTACAGTGGTGAGCTTCAGATATCTTTGGCATTAGAACTGCAGTGTGCTTCTTGTGGAAAGCTCTGAAACCCGTGCCACCTTGAGTTACTGGCTGACATACATGCTGCATATGTTGTGAGCCTCTACAAACCAAACACATAAAAGAAAGGGGCACTGTACCCCAGTTCCGGGCAGCAGGAGAGCACATGAGTGGGAGTCAACAGTGGGTAATGTTTGAAGTCCTGGGGTAAGGGCTCACAGTGGTTCACTGTGTCACAATGGCAGAGGCAGGGCTGGCCTGTGAACAGCCTGGCAGTGTGAGAGGTCAGGTCAGAGGTGCTGGCTTGGCCTGGAGTGGCAGGGAAGCCCTTCCCAGGTGCTGTGATACTGGGGTTAGGGATGGATATGGGTCTGCCAAGAGGCTCCTCAGAAAGGCAAAGCACAGAGACAGAACCACACCGTGAGTAGGCCTAAGAGGTGGCAAGCTCATGGTCATGAAGGCAGCACTAGGAAGGCAGCACTGGAAGCCAGAGGGGGCCAGGCCTTCTGCAAAGTATTTGTTGGGTGGCAGGGGAGTCCTGGGGTCTCATAGAACTTGATGTGATCCAGGAATCTTCCTGCTCCCAAGAACTATGGCCAAAGGGTATGAGAATCATAAGACAGATGACAACACAGGAGTTGACAGGGACAGTGCAATAAAGATATGCATTTTAGGTGGGGATTCAGGGGAGGGGCTCAGGCTGCCTTCCATGGTAGACACACTTGGTGTAAGCCAATATTCTCCAGTTACTCTGCATCACATTCCTGAAAGTCATGTGTGCCTCTGCCTTGACAGACCATCTTGGAGATGTTTTATGTTTCTGTTTGATTGATCTTGGCTGTGGCTTTTTGACACTGTGCTTCTCACTTTCCCTGCCCTCTGACCCCTTGGGTAGGTCGTTAATGATCTTTAAACAAACACTGGAGCATGATAGCTCTCGAAAGGCCCCAGCTAGTGCCCCTGAGCGTGCTGGGCCCAGGACCCAAGAGAAAAGGTGTACAACGTGGATGCTGCCTGCTAAAACGTCAGGATGCCCCTGGTTTTAGTTTTTGGTGGCAGGCTTCTGAAGTAAGTTATTAGTCCTTTGCTTTGTTAAACAGAAACCTGTAAAACTACTACATTACAGAGAACAGATTGCAGTTGAAATGTTCATCCACCTCATGAGCATTTATTAGGGGCTTTTCTATGTCTGTTCCTGATTTGTGGACTATGGAAGCTGAAATCTGCCAGGTGCCGTCATCAGTGTTATCTTGCAGAAACTGAGATAAGATCAGATTACCCTTCTGCCTAAACTCCTGGGTAACTTCCTGGAGGCTCTGCATGGGCTGCACAGGCACACAGGCCTTGACCTCCCCTGCAGCAGCCCTCTTGCCTCTTGGTTTATGTCTTGACCTCTTGGTTTATGTCTTCTCCCACATCAGGTCTGGCCCTTGTTGGTTCATCCCCTTCTAAATCCCTTTGTTGTGGATCTCCACAAGCTACTACTGCTTATGCACAGGTCCTAGCTCAGGCATCATCTGTGCCTCCCACCAGTGTCTGCAGATGCCAGCATTGCCTGGACCTCAGACCCACTCTGTGGCACATCCTGGGTTCTCTCGTGGTATATGCTAGATATGCTATATGTTACATAATTGTTATTGATATAAATCCACATTAATAGAGCCAGCATGATAGCTCAGCGGACTAAGCACCTGCTTAGGCAAATGCAGGGACCAGGGCTTAATACCCAGCACCACATGCCATGCTGGCCCTGCCTATGCCCCCAGGGCATGCTGAGCTGGCCACCAAGACTGGGCATGGTGGCACACAACTATAATCACAGTGCTGGGGAGGCTGAAAATAGAAAGATCACTATAAATCTGAGCTGTGTAGTGAAACCCAGTACCAAATACATTTTTAAAAAGTAGATTAGATCCATATTAATGTAATAATACATGTAAGTTTACCTCTAAACATCACTGTGAGATATTAAGCTCTTGGGAACCAAGTTTGCTCTGTTCTTTCCCCTGGAACAGGGCTGGCCTGACACCTGTAGCAGATCCTTGGGGAATATGGGTGCCGTAGCTGGGGAAGGACCATTCTGCACAGAAGTCTAGAAGCCAACAGGCAGGCTATAGATGCATGCCAGAAAGGGACTGTGCCCTGGGCTATGTGTCCTCAAGAGCTGGGGGCTGCTATGGAGATAGGAACTAGACTTGCCCACTGGAGCCTGGACACACTTTATAGAGCAATGGTCTTACGTGGGCTTTACAGGGCAGGGGCACACCTTGGCAGAATGAGAACATTGGGAGCTGAGTTGGGCAGCAACACCTATGTAGAAGGCTAGGAAAGCCAGAGGGTCTGGAGCCTGGGTGGGGTAGGGACCAGAAGGGGAGAGAGTTGAAGGCAGTCCTGGTAAGGCTGGCCCTACCTTGCTGGCAGTTCTGGGTCTTGGGTCTTCCGGATGATGCCTGCTCTATCCAGTAAGATTCAGAGTGGCCCCTAGCCTTTCTTCAGCTGGTCAGCCCTGTGCCCTGTCAGAGGCAGGTGGGGATTCAGAAGTACCCGGAAGGGGGTGTCCTCACTGGAGCCCACCCTGCCCCCAGGCCTGTTGGTTTCATGGTATCCCTCTTGCTCCTGGTCAGGTGGTGAAGAAGGTGAAGTCCATGCAGATGTTCCACACACCTGTCACTTCGGCCATGCAGGGAGACCGGCTGGGCATCTGTGTCACCCAGTTTGACCCCAAGCTGCTGGAGCGTGGACTAGTGTGTGCCCCTGAGTCACTGCACACCATCCACGCAGCCATCATCTCTGTGGAGAAGATCTCATATTTCCGGGGGCCGCTGCAGACCAAGGCCAAGTTCCATATCACAGTGGGCCATGAGACAGTCATGGGCCGCCTGCTGTTCTTCAGCCCTGCGCCTGACAGCTTTGACCGTGAGCCCATGCTGGACTCCTTTGACTTTTCTCGTGAATACCTTTTCCAGGAGCAGTACTTGTGCAAGGACTCAATGCCAGCAGTAGTAGACAGTGATGAAGTCGACAAGCAGACAGGCCAGGCCACAGAGGGCTGCTGCCCCCGGCAGCAATGGGCCCTTGTAGAGTTCGAGAAGCCCATCACCTGCCCACAGCTGAGCCTGGTCATTGGATCCCGGCTGGATGCAGACATCCATGCCAACGCTTGCCGTCTGGCATTCCATGGGCTACTGCTGCACGGGTTGGAGGACAAGGGCTACGCAGAGAACATCCTGCCCACACTGAAGGTGTACAAGCTGAAGCATAAGCATGGCCTCGTGGAGCGGGTAAGCTTGCCCTGTCTGGTGACCCAATGCCCATCCCACCCTCCACAGGGCTAGGTGGCTTCTGTTCTGACCCTAGAGCCAAGGCCTACATCCTGTCTTCCATTGACCCACATGGTGAGGGCTCCCAGAGGCCTGAGAGACCTGGCCTGTCCTGCAGCTGGTATCATGTGACAACATTTGCTCCCCCCCAACCCAGCCCAGTTCTCCTGGCCTCAGTGGTATTGTGTCCCATCAGGCATGAGGGCTTCGTGTCTCCACCCTAGTTCCCTGTGCCTAAAGGGCACATTGCCACAGCACAGGCCAGACTAGGTCTGCCCTACCCTGCAGAGCAAGAAAAGGGGTTGGAGAGCAAAGGAAGGACATCAAGAAGGTGGTATAGTGGTGAGGGCCATGGTAACTGGGCAGCTGGTGTCCCCTGAGTTCACTATCCCTAGATACAAGTTTAGTTTACAGGCTTGACATTGGGCAGATGAGAGTCATAGTCTGTCCCAAGTGCTGGGATTACCTCCTAGCAGGTGCCCAACCCTTATCTGTCCTGTGCTCTGAGTAGGGATCATGTCTAACAGACCTCACTGTCCCTTCTAAGTGCCCCTGGCTGTGACTCAAGTGGGCCAGGGACAGCTGTGGGTGGTCACTAGATTTGACTGGGCACCTAGCCCCTCTTCTCAGTCTAGGGAAGCCAATGAGCCCTAGACTTGCAGTCCACAGAATCAGTACCCAAACTGCACTTCTTTGTCTCTGCACAGCTATAGGCCTCCTTCAGCTGGGACAGCCTCCTGAAGGACCACAGGCCTGGCCCTTCCCCTTCGTTTCTGGGAAACCTGTGCAGGTTGTGAGCTCACTGCCTCTAGACCTGTTTTTCTATGCTGCACAGTGGGGTTGTATAAAGGTAAAATGGGCTTGGATATAAGGGCCCAAGAACCATATTTGGCTCCAATTATATGATTCTTTTTATTATTACCAATGTTTAAACTCTATGGGTCAAAATAGTAAATTTTTGGGCTTGTATCTCCTCTTCTGTGGAACCTCATTATCCCAGGGAGACACAGGGGCCATCAGAATCACCCGGGGCTGCTGAGCATGTGCAGGGCTGAATGTCAGGCTAGTACTTGGGGTGGCTGTCCTGGATTATCTTTCCTGGCATGCAATGTCCAAAAGGTCCTGGTGGCACCACGCCTGCCCCCCCCCCCAGCTCCCTGGGCACAGCTGTGTACAGAGAGGTGTCTGGGAGGTCAGGTTGTGCTGCACACTAGCAGCCCCCTGCCCACTCTGCTCTGTGAGCATGGCTGGCTCTCTGGACCCCTCAGTGCTGGGCCCTGAGCTGTCCTCAGTTCATGATGAAAGAGGATACACCTCAGGCAGGCCTAGGCAAAGGGCCTTCTGTCCTGTTGCCTGGAAGAGGCTCCATTAACTTGTTGTCAGGTGATTGCTGAACTCATGGTTCATGCCAGGCACTAGAAATACAAGAGGGACAAAGTGTTGTGCTCACAGGAGAGGCTGGTAATGAACAGTAAGTTGTTGCTTCTGGTATAATGATATCTGGAAAGAAGAAAACAGGGTGCTGTGTATACATTCAGCTGAGGACTGCACTTGGCATGGAGACAGTGCTGCTTCCCCGACCCATTGTGTCCTCCACGTCCTGGGCCCTGCTGTGCCTGCCCACACAGTAACATGGTCCATGCCCGGCAGATGAGGCCAGACTCACTGGTTTGCAGACCAGACGATGGTCCGTGGGCCACGCCTGTACAACTAACTATTCTTGCGCCAAATCTAATAATCTTCAACAAGCTTATTTTTTCTGGGTACTTTTTCCAAGTGCTGCGATCGAGCACAATTTAATTAACTTAGCCTGGTAAATGGCTTTCTTTTCTCGGCCAACAAATGAGCCACTCAGAAATTTACTTTGGTTGCAGCCCCATTCTCAGTTTTAAATTTTTGTGTCTACAATGATGAAATACACTGTTTTGAATGTTCTCATTTCTCTGACCATTGTGTTTCTGTGATTTGGGAATACTGTGATGTCAATATGTTGTATCCTATTAGCTCAGCTAATAGCAAACACAATGCTCTGCCCTGTGAGTCTCTAAAGCCAGAATCCACACCCCATGAAACCTTGTGAGTGTGATGTTGGAAGTGCCTGTTGTTTCTCTTACTGTTGACATGACAGGTATGCAGTGGTAATGAAGTACAGTGCTGCTCTTGGGCAAGATGCTGTGGAGTTAAATCACTTTGCTGTGCTCACAGTCCCCAAACTCCTCCTTCCTTGTCTCCACTGCTCAGCTCTGCTGCTGTACACAAAAGAAACCCAGACAGTCCCTTAGTATGTGGTGTTATCCAGTAAAATTTGTTTATGAACATTAATATTTGAATGTCATATCATTTTTACATCATGAAATACTCTTTTTAAAGATGTTTTCAACTCAGAAAATTTGAGGACCATTCTTAGCTCAGAAGCCATACAAAAACAGGTAACATGCAGAATTTGACCCCCTGACTATTTTCTGCTGACTCTGGGTTTAAAATTCTTTTTTATAATTTTTATTGATATAGGGTCTCGCTACAGAGTTTGGACACGTAGTGATCTCCTGTCTCAGCCTCCCCAGTGCTGGGATTACAAGCATGTGCCACCATGCCTGGCTCTAGGGCTGGCATAGCACACCCAGGGTTCTGGGTACCAGCATGGCATGCGATCTAGGAATCTAACTCATGACCATATGCTTGCCAGTCTAGTGCTTGTGGCGCCAACCTATCTCCCAAGCTCATGATGCTGGGTTTAAATAGTGAATGAGACTCTTGAAAAATGACAAGCATCCTTCAGGGAAAATTCTGATCATTGTCTGCAGCTGCAAGTAGTCAGGACCTCACAAATGGGGTCGCGGGTGAGGGGACTTATGTTAGTAAAGACATACAAGGGAGAGGAGGAAGTAAGAGGAGAGAAGGGCTGGTCTTCCTGGGGAGAGGTATGGAAAAAATACAGCCTCTGCTGGTGAGGAAAATAATTTGTATTGCATTGTTTAAAATATAAAGATAGGGCTGGGGACATAGCTCAGTAGAATAAGCGCTTGCCTGGCAAGTGCAGGGTCCTGAGTTCAATCCCTGGTACCACAAAAAAATAAGATAAAATAAAATATAAAGATAGAGGGGCCAGCCAGATAGCTGCTCAGCGAATTAAAGTGCCCACTTAGGCAGATGCAGGGGTCGGAGGTTTGATCCCCAGCCTGCTGCGTCAGCCCCACCCCAGGAGCACACTGAGATGGCCAGTGAGACTGGGCATGGTGGCGCACACTGAGATGGCCAGTGAGACTGGGCATGGTGGCGCACACCTGTAATACCAGTGCTTGGGAGGCTGAAGGTAGGAGGATCGCTACAAGTCAGACCTATGTAGTGAGACCCTATATGCCCTGCACTAAAATAATAAATAAATGAATAAAAATAAAATATAAAGATAGAGAGGTGCACCCCTGTAATCCCAGCACTTGAGAGACTGGGCCAGAAGTTTGAGGCCAGTATAGCTACATAGTAAGAGGCTGTCTCAGGAAACCAACAGGGATGGAAAGGAAGGGGCAAAAAAAGTAAAAAGATAAATTATGTGTCTGATTTTGAACACAGAAACTATGAACAGCAGCAGTATACAACATTCACATTCATAGAGAAAAGCCTGGAATAGATTTGATTAAACCAACAAATATAAGGAAAACAAGAACAATGTTAGTAAATAGTAACAAAAACAGCAAAATTAACTGTCACTCATAAGACTAAATGTGAATAGCCAGATTCTACTGTTTAAATACAGAAACTAATAGATTGAGTTAAAACACAGAATCTACTTACAGTGGACCCTTGACTTATGAACTCAAGTCCTTTATTTGTTTGTTTATTGATTTATTTATTTATTTTGTATTTTAGGGAAGAGTCTACAGGGTGTTAAGGGTCCCACTATTAGTAGTGATCTACCTGTTTACAGCCTCCCAAGAGCAACACCATACCCAGTCTCAATTGCCATTTCAGCATGCCTGGGGGATGGGCTGGCATGGCAGGCCTGGGGATCAAACCCCTAGCTCCTGTGCCTGCTAGCAGGCGCCTTAATCCACTGAGCTATTTGGCTGGCCCTTCAAGTCCTTTACAAGGGCTGGTTTTAACTTAAGTTAGTTGTAAGTCACGATTATTTTTCCCATAAGAAATAATGGAAATAGCTATAATGTGTTCTGAACCTCCCAAAGCAGCCCCTTAACTAACCTTTTCATAATAAAGAAGTGTTGTGTGATGTGTGTAATTTACCAGAAACACCAATAATTTTCCTAGTGTACTCACCAAAAAGTTATAAAATGTGCCTACTTTACCAGGAACAACAATTTCATACTATATTCACCATTCAAGTTGCATCTTTGGCTCGCTGGGAAGGAGGATGAAATGGAAGGTGGTGGTTGTTTGGAAGGAGAGGCCCCTTCCATAGGAACATCAGGAATCTGGCTCACTAGGTCTTACCTATTCAGAACTAAAAACTCATCTAAAGTTTCTGTTTCCGTCTTTTCTTAGCTTCTTTTCTGGCTTTTTTTTTTTTTTTTTTTTTTTTTTTTTTTTTCTTTTCTTTTCTGGCTTTTTGAGGGTCATTTTGATCATAGTAATCGTAGTGATTAAATAAAGCACTGACCAAAACCACATCCACAAACACACACATCTGGGCTCAGACTGACGCTTATGTTTGCTTGCACATACTTTTCTGGCCTGTCAGGTCTTTATTTACAGTCACACAAGCAGCCAGCTTTTGGTTTATAATCTAAGACTTTGGTCATAAGTTAAACCTAAATATCTGGTCATAACCCAAATTGTTTTTATGTGAAGCTGGTTATAACCTGAGGGTCCAGTGTATATGTTATTTATAACAACCCCACTTATAATAAAGAACAAAGGTTAGGAATAAGATGGACAGAAGGATGCCAGCTGACTGTAAACACAAAGAAAATGTGAGTCATATTAAAATCAGAGTGGCATTTGAGATT